GTTAAATAAGCAAGGTTATTTAAATGTTTCGTCTATTTTGCCTAAGCCAATCTGTTGCACTACTTGTCAGATGGCTAAGAGTAAACGTTTGGTTTTTTATGACAATAATAAAAGGGCTTCTGCCGTTCTTGATCTTATTCATTGTGATTTATGGGGACCCTCTCCAGTTGCTTCTGTTGCTGGATATTCTTATTTTGTTATTTTTGTGGATGATTTCTCTCGCTTTACCTGGTTTTATCCATTACGACATAAATCAGATTTTTATGATGTGCTTGTTCGGTTCAAAGTCTTTGTGGAAAACCAATTTTCTCGATTTATTAAAGTTTTCCAAAGTGACAATGGCACCGAGTTCACGAATAACAAAGTACAGGATTTATTTGCTTCTTCTGGTGTGCTTCATCGGTTCTCATGCCCGCATACTCAAGCACAGAATGGTCGGGTTGAACGGAAACATAGACATGTCCTTGAGATTGGTCTTGCAATGTTGTATCAGTCACATGTTCCTACTCGTTATTGGGTTGATGCTTTTAGTTCTGCGGTATATATTATTAATCGTGTTCCCTCTCAGGTGCTATCCGGCCAGATTCCATTCACACTTCTATTTCAAGTTGCGCCTACATATGCTAATTTTCATCCTTTTGGTTGTCGTGTGTTTCCATGCTTGCGCCCATACATGAAAAATAAATTTAGTCCTCGGAGTTCTCCTTGCATATTTTTGGGTTATAGTAGTCATCACAAAGGATTCAAATGCTTAGATCTGACCACTTCCAGGATTTATGTGTCTCGCCATGCTCAATTTGATGAAACTTGCTTCCCTTTTGCAGGTTCTCCTTCTTCTAGCATTGATCTTATGGTTTCTTCATTTTATGAACCAATCACAGGCTTCAAGTCTTCTTCGATGTCTGCTTCCTCTAGTCTTCCGACGAGACCACCACCAGTTACTACCTTGTCTTGTCCATCATGTGTTTCCTTGGATGCTGCTCTGGCTCCCCATCCTGCTCCACCTGTTGCACCTGCTTCATCGGAACCTGTCTCTCCTCCACGAACTCCATCCCCAGCATCGACCTCTCCTATAGTGTTGCCTGCTTCTTCTGATGCTTCTATTCAACCAGCCCCGGTTGCTGTTCGTATGCAGACTAGATCACAGAATGGCATTTTTCGGCCTAATCCGCGTTATGCCCTCGCTCATCACCAGCCTACTGCTCTTCTCACTGCTTTGCATGTTGCTTCTGATCCCAAGGGTTTTAAATCCGCCATGAAGCATCCTCAATGGTTGGCAGCAATGGAGGATGAGCTCTCTGCTCTTCGTAACAATCATACTTGGACCTTAGTCCCTCGTCCATCTGCTCCTAATATTGTTGGTAGTAAATGGGTTTTTCGTACCAAACACAAAAGTGACGGCACTATTGAGCGCTTAAAAGCGCGTTTGGTGGCTCAAGGTTTCACGCAAATTCCAGGTTTTGATTACTCACTCACTTTCAGTCCAGTTGTCAAGGCTACTACTATTCGTCTTATTTTATCACTTGCCGTGCTTAATGGCTGGCCACTTCATCAGTTGGATGTAAAAAATGCTTTTCTTCATGGCCACCTCACTGAAATTGTCTATATGGAACAACCTCCTGGCTTTGTTGATCCTCGTTTTCCGACTCATGTCTGCCGGTTGAACAAGGCTCTCTATGGGCTCAAACAGGCGCCCCGTGCTTGGTTTGAACGTTTGAGCTCTTTTCTGATGCGCTCTGGTTTTATTTGCAGCAGGGCTGATCCATCCTTGTTCTTCTTCTATCGCGGGCGCATCACTCTCTACCTCTTGGTTTATGTGGATGATATTATTCTTACTGGAAGTGATCCCCCCTTTCTCACTCAATTTATTGCTCGTCTTAATGCTGAGTTTGCAATTAAATATCTAGGAAAGCTTGGCTACTTCCTTGGTCTTGAGATCACTTATACTGCCGATGGTTTGTTCTTGGGACAAGCCAAATATGCTCATGATCTGCTTTCCCGAGCTATGATGCTTGAGGCCAAACCTGTCTCGACCCCATTGGCTGCCGGTTTTCATCTTGTCAGTGATGGAGTGGCTTACTCTGATCCAACTCAGTACCGCTCTTTGGTTGGGGCCTTACAATACTTAACCATTACTCGCCCTGATTTATCATATGCCGTCAACATGGTAAGTCAATTTCTCCAGGCTCCTACTATTGATCATTTTCAAGCTGTCAAACGTATTCTCCGTTATGTTTGTGGTACACAACATTTTGGACTTACGTTTCGCAGCTCACCTTCTCCCGCGGTTCTTGGTTATAGTGATGCTGATTGGGCTCGCTGCACGGACACTCGTCGGTCTACCTATGGCTATGCTATCTTTCTTGGTGACAATCTTTTGTCTTGGAGTGCCAAGAAACAACCTACTGTTGCCTGCTCTAGTTGTGAATCTGAGTACCGGGCCATGGCCAACACAGCTTCTGAACTTGTTTGGTTGCTCAATCTCCTTCGTGAACTTCGTGTTGGGTTGTCTGCGACTCCTCTCCTTCTCAGTGATAATCAAAGTGCATTGTTTATGGCTCAGAATCCTGTTGCTCATAAGCGTGCTAAGCATATTGATTTGGATTGTCACTTCATCCGTGAGTTAGTTGCCTCTGGTCGCTTGGCTGTTCGCCATGTTCCTACTTCTCTACAACTTGCTGATATTTTTACAAAGGCGTTGCCTCGTCCGTTGTTTGAATTGTTTCGATCCAAGCTTCGTGTTGGTCTTAATCCAACGCTTAGCTTGACGGGGGGGTGTTAAGAGCTAGTTATCAGGACTAATATCCTACCATTTATTCTCTCATTATTATGATTTATTCTCTCATTATTATGATGTAATTTCCTGTTTTACATTGTAATCTTTTTCTTTAAATCATATTGATTGCCTCACACAAATTGTGGTGAGATTTATCACATCTTACATACATATCAATGAGACGATGCACCTACATTCCTCACGAACAACAGTGCCATTTCATAGTCACAGATGGGAAACACAAAGTTTATCGTGGTCCAGAATGAATCTTCGCTTGATTTATTACAGCTCCTGAGGCAAATTTAATGTTGTTGAACTCAAAATTACCCTTTCTTTTAGTCCCGCGTTGACTAGGTAAGAAATATTATTACTACGGGATAATCACACTGACACCTAGGACAATTCTTCATTCAAACTTGAAAAAACATTGTTTCTTTTGGTATCATAAACCGAAGAACCATGGGATGGATTAAACTAAATATCATGCATTCATCACATCAACTAAATTGAACATCATACTTAATGGCTACTATTCTGCCGACGAGTTGTTCTACCTAACATTAATATGCTTCTGTTTGATTTAAATAAGGTGTATCCGTTCGTAAATCAATCACCTTGACATTTTGAGTATCGATTATCAATTTCACCTGTTTGCCATGATTAGATATTGCGATTCCTTCCATATGCTAATCCAAACAGAGGCGTTATAACTTCTAACAACTTTGCATGTCCCAAAGCAAAGGCACAAACGTTGCCAGAACAACTAGTCCAATCCTTCGTAGCTTTTACCTCAATCAAACAAGTCCATGCAAGACATTATTGGCGACATAATAACAAGGAACACCGTTTTATAAGATCTAGGTTGGCTCAACTCCACTATTCCCTAATAATTGATCTTCCTTAGGCTTTCACAATGAAACTTTCGTGCCTTATTTTACCTAACTTGACAACTTAAGTTTCAAGAACGAGATTATGACTTTGAAAGGTGCAAAACGTAAAATTAGTGTATACGTTTTCGATACAGATTTTCAATCCTTCCACTAGTTGTTATAAGAGTATAATATTTTTTTATATATATTTTAAATCAGTCCCTCTTTAGTCTCCTTTTTTTATGTGTAAAGGGACAAAATTGTTCTTTCATGCACCGATTTCATTTCGAATAATATTATTTCAGGCCAAGAAAGTTTTCCCTTCACTCCTTTGTCTTCTATTCTATAATATTATTGATGATGCTGTTCTCTCTTTTATTGATGGATAATTTCAGGAATAAGGGCCATGTTCTATCTTGTGAAAGAAAATAAATTCTACATGAGATCATTACTGATCCAAGGATTGACATGTGCATCTTGCAGAGCAGTGAAAGCTTTAGTTGATCAACACTTCAATTATCCTATGGCATTTGAAACTCAATCATGTTTACAAACACCTAAATTTCTATTGGTGTGTGTTTTTCAACATGCTTTAGTAGAAAGGAAGACTAACCCAACAAAAAGGTACTTCATTCCTAGTCCATTGAATTTGGAAGTATTATAACCTTCCAATTCATTTGCTTGAATCGAATCTAAATCCAGTCGCCTGTGAACAAAACAATAACTTATTTCATAGTCATAATGTCGAACAGTTTTATTGATATGGACCATCTATAATTGTGCGGGTGTGAGAAAGCTTGTCCTTTTTCTGGTGTTGGAGCTTACGGAAAAACTTTTTAATTTTATTCCACTTTTTTTAGTAATGTAACAAAAAACCAAACATTCCAAGACGAGATCCATGTCTGCCTCACTCATCTTTTGTCGAAAAGGATAGCTCATTGAAATATAGATCCATCCACGGCTATATTTGTCTATAGATGTAATACGCACTAAAACAACTTAATGTAGCGTCTCAGAATCAAAAAACCCAATACCAATACTAATTGTCTTCCCACAGCTCTGGATTTGATACGGTCACCTCAATGCATTTGCTTTCTTCTAGCACGGTCTCATTGTTTTGCAAATATACGAAACTTGTTTTCTTATTGAGCTACTAATATACAATTGATATGTAATGAACATCCCCACCTTTGAATAAAATATATGTTATGTCTAAAGGTCAAGACCTATGTGTTCGGAACTGCACTTTTCTGTGTACCTTATACGCTGCCTACGGCTTTCCACTTTCATCACACTTTTTCCTTTTTGACTTTTGCCTCTAAAGTTTCGAGACATACGGGGCCAAAGGAATCGAATTCCCGTCAAAAACCAGCTCAAGTTCAATGGCATATACATTATAACGAATCTCTCCAGTCCAACCCATTACCAAGGAGGCTACCCACATCATAAGACTACTGAGATGAGATTACATAAAGTAAACAATTTTAAGTTTTACAAGTTCTCCTCAAATTACACAGTTTTATTATCATTGCCTGCTTAGTAATTTGTCTTGTACATATATTCATTTTCATTCATAATCTTGTACAGGCAGGGAGCCTGCCATCTTTTCACTCTATATGCTGCCATCCCCCCAAATTTAACTGCAAATCGCAAATTAATCAATCAATTTTAACTAAATAAAAATGTTACATGTAGTTTGCTGGAATCTGGAATAATTCAGTACACATGGACACCAATGAGTTGAAAAGCAAGTAACCTCAGAATTTGGACTTGCAGAGATTCCAATTACAACCGGGCAACGTATGAGTTTGCTTGGGTTACATATCTAACCCAACGATAAGGATTTTGTGTTTTTGATGTCTTTGCTATCTGCAAATACTTCACCTACACCAAAATAATGGCATCTTTAGAACTATTCAAGGGAGTGCAAATACACCAGATAGAAAAAAAAAAAAGAAAAAAAAAAGGGTTCTATAATAATAAAGAGTTTAGTTGAATCTGTATTTAAAATAACAAGGGATGATAATTGATAACACGGGCATCCATGTTAGTAGTATCCAGTAACACAAGCTTCAAGAAAATCAACAAAGACATAATAATAAGACTTAATTTCTAGGTTAGCATATAACGATGACACTATAATATACTATTTCCATTCCATTTTATTTGATATTTTAGCAATATATATATATATATATATATATATATATTGATTGTTTAACATCTCTATAATTTAAAATGGAATTCTTTAATATTTATCTTTTCAAAGTATATCTGGATATAAGTTAGAAGTATTTTTTAGCTTTTTTTTACTGAAAATAATAAGTATTTTTTTAAGTAAAGAAACTCTCAAAAGTTCTCTTAAACTTATATATCCAAATAGTTATTAATCTCTATAGTTTAAGATATATCTTAATCTTTATATTTGTAGTTTTGAAATTCTTTTAGTCCCTATTGCTAATTTTTTTGTATAATATTGTCTATTTTGTGTTGTCTTAATAAAAGTCTTCAATTTTGTGAGTATAAAAAAAATTTCTAAATAGAAATCGTAAGCGAGGATTAAAAAAGGTACAAAGTGTCAAAAGATTTAATATAGAATAATTTCAGAAAAAAAATAAATTCGACATCAAATACATAAAGTTAAGTTAATAAGAGACTATAATAATAAAGGTTTTGTTCCTTATTCTTTAATTGTACATATGGCTGAAAAATTGAAAAATTTTAAGGTGAAGAAGCTAGTTAAGTGGTACAACTTTTTTTTTTTAAGGAGAAGAAATTTAAGACATTTCATTCATAATAGAAGCAACTATACAGGTGGGAATAAAATCGAAATGATGGGGATTAGCATACAATCTTGATACCCTAGCTAGTATATGGACAACATGATTTGCTTGTCTCCTAACAAACCTAACCTCAAGGTTCTTGTGTAAGGTTAAAAGAGAACGTCCTTTGTTAATAAGGCGTCCATACTTAGAAGAATGGCTTATGGAATCATATAGATCATCCACAACCTGTTTACAATCAAGTTCAATCAAGACTTTCTCATAATGGGAGTTTGCTAACCAAGTGATAGCCTCTAGACAAGCTATCGCCTCAGCTTCATTTGGCGATGAGGAGCTGTTATACCAACCAGAAGTGGCAGAATTGAATCTTCCTCGATCATCCAGTATACAAAAGGCGAAACCACAACAATTTGAGTCATTAAAGATCGCTACATCCACGTTGCATTTCATGTATCTTGGTGGGGGTTTGGTCCAGCAGATTGGATCATTTATTAGTGCCTTTGGTATTTGTTGTGTTTCTCAAGTAGCTATCCACTCTATTATTCGTTGTCGTGCAAGGAAGAAAACTATATGAGGTGGAGTCACCTTGTTATTCCATAGTTTGAAATTTCTCATACACCAGATGCCCCACATCAAACATAAGAGGTCTATTGCTTCCGAGAGAGACAAGCATTGGAGCAACTGAAATATAGCTTGTTGTATTCCATCATTGTCAGCAATTACTTGAGAAATCTTAGGCCAAAATCTTGTTGCAATCCATATGTCCTTTGCTGCCACGCACTCGAAAAAAACATGCCATTCATTTTCAATACCTACATTGCATGTGGCACAAAGCATAGTACATGGCACATGCCTGCGATGAAGATTCAATCTTGTAGGTAGACATCCTCGTAGTGCTCGCCAGAGGAATATCTTCATCGTGTTAGGGGCTTTCATACTCCAAAGCAGCCTCCAATTGCCTAGGGTTCGTAGATCAACATTCAAAGAGGTATGTTTCATTAGTTGGTAGTATATGCAGACTTAACAGTATACATACCATTTCTACTATGTGACCAAGAAATCATATCAAAATCTTGGAGATGCAAAAGTGGAATAGCTTGATTGTCTTTTTGGTTAAAAAGTGTCAAGAGAAGAGGGGTATTCCAACACCCCGTATTTTGGTCTATAAGATCATTCACTGTAAGGTGATCAAACCACTACTACAAGATGCATATTCTACATCGGTTCTCTAAAGTCATCTACATCGGTTCTAAAACCAATGTAGAATAGAGCGATGTAGAAAATGAATACGTTTTTACATCGGTTCTGAAAAATCGATGTAGATCTAAGCATAAATCTACATCGGTTCTCTAGACAACCGATGTAGATTTAAGCATAAATCTACATCAGTTCTCTGGAGAACCGATGTAGATTGCATTTAAAAAAAAAATCATGCCTATTTTTGGATTATTTTCTGATTACCTGCAATGAACATATATATAGCTTTAGAAATTTGTTTACAAATTACACAAAAACAATTTGAAATTATGGAAGTAACTTGGTCAATCATTCATAACACAAAACAAGTTTTAACTTTTAAAACAAACGTGCAAATGTATTCCTCTCATTTGGAGTTGATTGATAAGCTTACAACTTGGAACATGAGTTCAGAGTATTATACCTCTGCCATTCAAATGCGTGCACCTTATAATCACTATAAAATGAAAATATATTCACGTCTTTCTCTTGTACTTGCGAACTTAAATTGTAATACAACACAAATCCTGCGTAGTTTATAAAGCACAACAAAATAGTGCCACTAGTGAAATTTATCAATCATTAAAAACCTTGATGGAAATTTAAAACAGCCTCACTTAGCAGTTATGTAAATAAATGATGTAGAAGAAAGATAAACATATTATCTTAATTAATTTCAGGTTCTAGCCCCAGAAAGGTCCCCTCTCACATAATTACAATAACTTGCTTCAAACAGTAATTACATTATGTTCCTCAATCTATCCATCGCTCTCCTTTAGTAAGAACTCAATTACGAAAGAGAACATACTATGACATCAAATTATTGACAGAATATACCGAGAATTCCACCAATAACCAAATGTGAGCAATAGCAATCAAGTCAAACAATTCCTATTCAATAAACTTGAAGTAGCATATTCAAGCACGAAGTGGCTATCATAGTTCAACTTTCTCTAAACTGATATTGTGCAAATGCGGTAGGAAACTACATACTACACTTTAAAGAGATATGATAAGGTTAGGACAAGCATGACCAATAAAAAAGTGCAATACCAAAAAGCCTTTGCTAAAAAGGCACCAAGTCCCTTTGAGAACTGCTTGACCACAAGATCCATTTCAGTCAGGCCACTTTGCCTAAACTATAGCAGACCTCTCCCTCCCAAAACCAGACCATAGACTTCCTTTGCGACCCCCCCACCTCCACCCCCACATGCCAAATAAATAAATTAAATACCAATGTTGAGGAGCTAGTGCAAACCTGTCCAGCAGCCTCCAACGGTCACTAATTTTGGCATCCACGTCATCTATTTCCTTCTCAAGATTTCGAAGCATAGCATCAACCTGACATATTTTGCAATTTGCAAACAAAGACATCAAATATCAAATATCATAAATAAGGTTTATCATATACAATCTCATCCTTATACTATCTTTGGATCCCTCTCATTTCGGTGTATCCGAACCGTTATAAAAATATAAAAATATATTTAATAATTATATTACCAATAATAGATGTAACCTGCAGCGCGGGCGCGGAGCTCGTCCATGTCGCGGGGAGACTCACGACACAAGCTGTCGACGAATGGCCCGGGCTTGAGTGCCATGAGCATGGCATGTAGGGCGACCTCGGGATTCAGGTTCCTGATCTTGATCGAGGTGCCAGCGAACCGTTCCATGAATGCCCGGAGTGGCTCGTCGTCGTTTTGCCTGAGACTGGCCAGGGCGGCTGAAGTGACATGGTGAGGTCGGCTCGTCGCATATTGTGCGGTGAACCTCCTGACTAGGGTGCCGAAGCTGTCGATGGACTCAGCAGGCAGTTGGGTGTACTAGTTGAGCGCGACCCCCTTAAGTGAGGTCGGAAACACCCTACACAAGATAACATCGTTGTTGGTGTAGAGATTTACCTGTGTTGTGTACAAGTCGATGTGCTCATCTGGGTCCGTCGTGCCATCGTAACGTTCGGTGCGTGTGTGCGTGTGTGCGTGTGTGCGTGTGTGTGTGTGGGTGTCTCTCTGTGTGTGTCTGTGTCTGTGTGTGTGTGTGTCTGTGTGTGTGTCTGAGTGTGTGTACATAAAAAAAAATAGTCATATGCTAAATAGCTAATAATCGTCAGCTTAGCTAATTAATATATTACAAGAACCATCACGTAAAAGTTAATTTATGTTTATAAAAGAAATATTGAGATATACAGAGGGTCATATAGATTATTTTTTTATGCTAGACACATTTATTGTTTTCCTTATGAAAGATATGTACGGTGTCATTAATGATTTGTCCAATAATAATAAATTAGTAAAAAAAATCACCTTTACATAGGTAGCATAGGGTAAATTAGGTTAATTTATTCGTACTATTGCATTATCATACCTTTTTTTTTCTCATGTTAAAAGTTGGAAGGAGTAAAAAACAACAACATTATCATTCATCATTACCACTTACATATAGTGTATAACGTAAAAATCTTTTACACCAATTGCGTCTACTATTTTATCTTTTAATATATTACTTTTCAATTGAAATGGAACACAGATTAATTATCTCAATCCCATTGACCTTGTTCTTTACATTAATAAGATAAATGCAGCTAGAAAACCTCACAAACATCAACCCCAAATTGCTTTCTCTCTCTCTCTCTATTAGTGAACCAGTGCCAGTGTATGGATATGCATCCAGGTGATGACATGCTAATGTCCCGTGGGAAAGATAACAGCATGAAGATGCACATGAGTCTCTATTGGGGCAAAGATGCCATAGTACTCTTCTCTGGGTGGCCTAAGCACAGTGTTGGCCACTACATCTTAGCCATATTGTTGGTGTTTTTCCTTGCAATGATTGCTGAGGTTATCTCCAACAAGCCCAACATCAAGCGTGGGACTAATCCCATAATAGGAGGGTTCACTCAAGCAACCTTGTATGTCTTCCGCATAAGCTTCCTTTACTTGGTCATGCTTGCTGTCATGTCCTTCAACTTGGGAATCTTCATAGCTGCTGTCGCTGGCCATACCTTGGGCTTCTTTTTTGCTAAGTCTCGCGCTCTTGTTCTTGCCAATAGAGAACAAGGGTCCTCCATTGCTCAAAAAGTTTAAAAATTAGGTAAAGAGAAATATTATATATATATATATATATATATATATATATATATATATATATATTTGTACAATAACTTATAAAACATCACTTTTTGTGTTTTTACTTTCTATCACTTTATTTGTTACGTTTATTAATAATAGAGAAAAAAAAATAGTATTTTATAAATTGTTATACAATTTTATTACACTACAACAAAATTAAGTTTTTGTGGCAATTAATTTATTCTTTAGCAGCCATATAAATAGCCATTATTTTTTTTACCAGCATTTAAATAATGGTTGGTGTATCCAGTGTCGCTAATACTATTACCGACATTTATATAAAATGCTGGTAAGGACCTACTAAATTGTCGGGAAAATTTATTTTTTTAGTGACAATTATAGTAGTCATTTTAAAGGCTATTAAAAGTTATTTTTTCAATTGTCTCATTTCCATCTATTTAGTGACTTTTATCTTTTGCTAGTAAAACTTTAAATAATTTATTCCTATAATTTTCTTTTCTAAATTTATAACTTATATACTCTTTTTTTTTTATTTCTGGTTGATGTAAAATTTGTAAGATGAGGGTTGTCTTCTATTTATATATTTTTAATTTATTTTTTTAATTGTTTTGTCTCTTAAGAGATGTAAGATGGGAGTTGTCTTCTCTATTTATATATTTTTTAATTGTCTTGTCTCTTAAGAGATGTGAGATTTATAAGGTGAAAGTTGCTCTCTAATTGTTTTATAGCACTATATATTGAACTTAGTAATAGTGAGTGATTTGATACCAATTTATTATAGTGAATTAGGAGTCTAACTCAACCTTATAAAATCAACTTATAAGGTGATAATTATTACTCATTTATATACTATTTAATTATCTTATCTCTAATCGATGTGAGACTAGTTTTTTCAAATAAATAATTGTTGCTAATAGTAAACTTTAGTGTAATATAATTAAATAGCGGCAATTAAATTATTGTCATTAAATAATTCTCGTTAATAACAAATTTTGTTGTAGTGTTATACATATATCATTACTATTTTACATACCTTATATTAACATATCATGAATGTAATAAAGTTTAATTTAGGTTAAATATATTTTTATTCTCACACAGGGAAATGATTGCTTTTAAACCCTCAAAGAAATATCATCTTCCGTTGATTTCTCAATTTTGAAATGTGTTTGGTGTGATTCTCATTTTTCACAAAAATAAAATTATCTACTTCTTTTAGTTCTTTACTTTTAAATATAGGTTACGTACACATGACATATTTCTAAAATGAGAAACCAAAATGGTTAAGGATCATTTTTCTTAGGATATAAAACCAAACAATTTTCTATTTATAAAGACTAAAAATATGATTGATGAGAGGTGTTGCTTGTGCTCGTTAAGCTTTTGCATGCTGTGTTTCAGAACTGATCTACTTTGTACTTTATGTGTACCGGTGCCCAGATACTAATTAATAACAACCCTAATATAAGCCTCACAATAATCATGCATGTGCAACATAGTTTTAAAATCCGGACGACCCTATTTATTTTGAATTTGTGTTAGATGTTGCACGAGATTTGTGTGTAACCATTTTTGTATATAAGTTTAACCAAATATAAAATTTGAAGCACCATGGTCATTTGTTACCAGCAATATTCGAACCATGGTCATTATGATTGAGGACATCATGTTACACCACTACAGAAAACGAATTTCCAATACTTTCCTAACAAAACTTTATATATATATATATATATATATATAT